GTGTATCAGCGTCTCAGTGTATCAGTGTATCAGCGTTTATAAGACAACGCAATGTCACACAATGTTATTGCTCGATTGTTGCACTTGGCCATTTTTGGGGCAAACTATCTTACTAACTATTAGTTAGTAAGATAAAAGACTGTATCCCTTAAAGGAAAAGCCTGTATTTCTGCTAAATTATCCATTTTTATATAGGTTTATATATTATAATCATGATCCCAACGTTTCAATTACGATAATTTGCTATTTAGTTAAAAAATAAGGCAATAATCGACAACACGACCTAAAATTGAATAGCGCCATTTTGACTGGTTGAGAGCAATCTTGTGACGTCAGGTACGGCGGACGCATTCAAGCAGCCAAGTGTGTGTGTAGCCTACACCATGTACTTGTCAATGCGGAAGTGAAGGAGAGGCACATAAGTGAAGGAGAAGCATTATCAATTTTAATAGTTTTATTCCAAATATTTGTTTCGAAATGGCTTGGTATTCGGAAAATCTGGAACCTGAGTATACGGAAAGAGAGCTAAGTTTGCGTCGGGCCGATGAAAAAAGGAGAAAAACTGAAGAAGAAAATTCTTGAGCAAAGCAAGCCGCCGACAAATGGTGTACTTGCGGTCAATGTGTTGCTATGCCTTCAGCTGAAGAATGCTTTTGCTGCAACGAACTAGAAAAAAGAACAGAAATTGAAGAAAATGAAGAAATATGTATCTGCAAGGCAAATACTTTCCCTACCGTATGCCTTGACGAAGAGGTGTTAAAAACAGCCTATACAATGCTGATTCATGTTAGAGGGTATAAGGACCGGCAAGTCGGTGCATTCGATAACAGGTACGTACTACCGCTCGGTCGCCGATTGTGTACGGTAGCCTAGCTAGCTAGCTAGCCACACATAAGATCGTTCCAGTTCCATCGACAATTTCCGCGTCGGCATTATTTTAATAAACCTAAATAAATATTCCTAAATTATTATAATACTATTATTAATTATACAATCTATCTTCTGAGCGTTTATTTTTGTGGTGTTTCGGTGTTCACTTTTTACTTAACATGCATAAAAATAGGCGACTTCGAAACGTAAACAAAAAGATCGACAACATGGCCTGAAATTGAATAGCGCCATTTTGACTGGTTGAGAGCAGCAATCATCAACAATTTCGGCGTCCGCTTCATTTTAATAAGCCTAAATAAATATTCCTAAATTAATATAATACTATTTTTCATTATACAATAACTCTTGTGTTACTGTACAGTAGCCACATTTTTATTTGGCTTAGGCAGTCATGCAAATAATTCGAATATTATATTCTCTGTTGTTAATAATAATTATTCTGTAGCCATTTTTTTTTTTTTGGTGGGGTGGGGACTATTCCAAGGCCAAGTTATGATGGAATGTTTTCTGTTTTTATGATTATTTTGCTTTATAATACAAATTTTTTATTGCGAATAATTGTGTTGTTCAATTTATAAATTTTATATTTGGAATGCGGCAGTCAAGCTCAATATTTGATGGTATGTGATGGTATATATTGATAATTAATATTCCACCGACACCATGTTGAAAATATTTTTAACATTTTTTTTTTTCCCAGAAAATTTCGTTGGATAGCCTACCAACAGTTCACATTCTACATCCACTAGCGCTTAGGAAAACGAGTCAGAAAGGTCATCCCTTCTTGTGTTGTAAATTCGATTCGGATGAAGTATCCTGAAATAGATGGATCGTATTCTGGTTTCAAAAACTTGTCTGAAGTTCAGTACGCAGTGAATGGCAATTATTAAACTACGACCAAACTTTAAATTAATAAACTTGTGTTTTTTATAAATATTGTACTTCAACAGGGAAGCAACTTCTGATGAATCTTCAGCATTATTTTTATGGCAAATATAGTAATGTACAGTATATAGTAGTCAACTATTTTTCTATGTGAATAAATGTTTTGTATTAGATGACTGGAAACATCTGTAGTTTCTCTTTTTCAATTTTGGTGTTGTACTAATGTATTAGGTGAGGTTACTTGCAATGTTGATTGAAAGTGAACACAAATGATTAGAAGTACAAACAGAAAGTATAAACATAAAATTTATAGTTTTATTCCACAAACCTACATTGCATTTGGCAACGTTCCTTTATAAATATCTGCATAGAAAGATGACACGAATTACTGAGCCAGATTGTCTAAGGGTGATCATTTGAACTTTCGGATACTTACAGTAGGGGCAATCTGAATACTGTACAAGTCATATTTTGATAATGAAAAAGTAGATTTTATATTATACAATACTTCACTATGGTTATGCCAACAGTTTGTAATTATTTACTGAGGAGGAAGCAATTACCCCTTCTAAGCATATCTCGCATTTAAAATTTAAGCAGTGCTCCAGTTTTCAGCATTAATTTCCGAAGCAATAAATGTAAAATTTTGTTTTAAGCATAATATATTTACAAATACAACATGGTTTGGCATATTCAAATATGTACAATAAGCAGTTTGATAGATATTTACAAAAAAAAAAAAAAAAAACGCTCAGCAAATGCCATGGTGTGTACAGCATGCACAGTTAACATTCAATTATGAATACATATTAAAATAAAAATTTGCATGTTATGAGCCACTTAAAAAAATGTGTACAACAGGCATAAGTTGGATGTCGGATGGTTATTTACAAATGAAACCTTGCTCAGCAAATGCTATGGTGTGTGCAGCAAGCACAGTTAATATTCAATTATGAATATTCATATAAAAAAATAAAAATTGCATGTTATGAGCAATTTAAAAAATAAATGTGTACAACACTGAGTTGGATGTCGGATAAATATTTACAAATGAAACATTGCTCAGCAAATTCTATGGTGTGTGCAGCAAGCACAGTTAACATTGAATTATGAATATTGAGTTTAAAAAAAAATTAAAAATTGCATGTTATGCGCCATTTAATAAAAATTTGTGTACAACAAGTTGGATATCGGATAAATTTTTACAAATGAAACTTTGCTCAGCAAATACCACGATGTGTACAGCAAGCACGGTTAAAATTAAAATATCATATTCATTTATAAAAATGCAGATACATATATTATGGATCATTAAATACAGAAAATCATGTACCATAAGTTCAGTGGTTAGTATGTGATTATTTGCAATTAAAACATTGCTCAGTATAAAGTCTTAGCAGGAACAACATGCACAGTAAACATTTACTGTATCATCTGAAATTAGAATCGGCTGCTGTGTCGTAAGATAGCCTGGCTTTTCTGTGGCTTTGGAATCGGCGCTATATTTGCAGGCAATGTTGGTACAGCGCAGGGAGGTAGAGACAGTCCATCACGCTTACATTTTACAACTCTGTCCATTAGCACAGAAACAAATGAGTAAGTTTTCTTCTCAAAAACTGGGCGGACAGACCAGCTCTTACACATCTTAGAATACGCTTGAGAGTACATTAACGAACCTTTGTTTGGCCCTTTAGACGCAACCATTTGCCCTCTGCCAATATGCGAATTGTGGTCTATTGCTGCAAGCTGTGTTCGAGCGAGCATGCTTTTATATGGGAAGTGTAAGCGTTTAGGACAATATTGCAGCATCATTGAATGGTATGATTCAATGTTCCCTGTGTGACAGAAGTCTGTCAAGCCAGACAAAGAGTCCAAAATGCCCTTATCCAGCACTACACTTTCAAGTTCTCTGTATGCTTTTGATGTTGGATTTATCCATTTCTTGCGCTCATTTTGTTCTGGCGAGTAGGCAGCATGCCCACATGTTTTCGTCTCTTCTCCCTCTTTCCACTCATGCTCCCCAGTTATGTGGTGAAGAAGTGACAACCATCTTTCTTTCAAAATGCTGGCACTTCCTTCACAATGCTGTGAACAGTTCCACAAATGATTGGATATACACTGTATCCATCCTATGAGCTCAGCTGTAGCCTTTGTCCTACCCTTTTCTGCTAGCTTTTTCCTTATGCTTTTGGCCACGTGCCACACATCATACTGATGCTTAATGTCTTCGTATGTGTCACGCATCAGGCATTTAATTTGGACGTGCCTGTCTGTGGCAATAGTGTCGATTACGCAGCCAAAGTCTATCAACCTATTAATGGTTCTGATCAGTCCTTCCTTCTCCATGGCATTTGAATTTTTCACCTCGCTGACCTGAATCAATTCAAAATCAAAAATCATACCCGTTTCCTGCATGAATTAAATAAGTGTACAAATATGTACTAGAATTTAAGGTTACATGGTTCTGAGTACACTGTTAATGTTATACTCATTTTAAATATCAAAATAGTCGCACAATGTTATAGTGCAATTTTGCGCTTGGGCCATTTTTGGGGCAAAATATCTTACTAATTAAACAATGCATCCCTTTAACAGACTGCATAACTGCAATCAGCACAAAACGTTGTCTAATAGAATGAAAGGTTTCATGCCTCTAGACCGTTCACAGATAATATTATGCTCATTTGAAATAAATCGTAACACAATTTTATTGCACAATTCTTGCACTTGGGCCATTTTTTGGGGCATAATATCTTACTAATCAAACAATTTATCCCTTTAACAGACTGCATAACTGAAATCAACACAAAAAGTTGTCCTAGAATGAAAGGTTTCACGGCTCTAGACAGTACACGGATAATATTATGCTCATTTGAAAACAACAGAAAAAACAATTTTATTGCGCAATTCTTGCACTTGGGCCATTTTTTGGGGGACATATCTTACTAATGAAACACTATATCCCTTAACGAACTGCATGCCTGAAATAAGCACATAAAGTTGTTTTAGAATTATAAGTTTCAAGGGTCTAGGCAGATTATTTTTAATATCATTATTCAAAAATTAATTTTATCAAATTTACACACTGATACTGTCACAAATTGAAAAATATACCCCTTTTCAAATCGCTTTTTAAACATGAAGGGATAAAGACACCAAGCTGATACTTGGAACATCTGATCATCATATATAAATTAATTAATGGTGCAAGTTTTAACAAGCGTACTTGCCCACAGGGTCAAAGGTCACCATGAAAACGAGGCATTTTTGTGCATTTTTTGTCCCGAATGACTTTTGACCTACGATTACTCCCTAAAATGATAAGTTAAAAATCCGGAATTTTTTGTGGTGAAACATTTTCAACTATATATTAATAATTTGGTGCATAATACCCATTTAATAACTGATTTGGGTATTTTAATGGGGGCTAAAAATGGAAGAAAAATTACGCAACCAAATAAGTTAGGGTGTTTACGAACCAATATTTTCGTAACGGGGTCCGGTATACCAAAAGTCAAGTCATATTCCTGTTCTACAGCCAAAAGTTAGTCTAGATATCAATTTTCAGTTAATTATCTTTATTCTATTTGAAGATATGGCTAATGGTATGACCCTAAAATTTCAAATGGCCGTAACTTCTAAACGACTTGGAATTGGCAAGTCAAATTTTGGGTTTGTTCGTCAGACATGTTGGTGCACATTATATCCGAGTTTCAAGAAAATCTGAGACGGTACCCAGCCATGATTTTTTGAAAATTTGTTGAGTTGGCACGGAATGACCCATTTATGAGAAGTTTTCCGTCCTCTGTTTCCTAGCCCAGCCCTCCATCCCCTAAATCCATGGGTCGGATGGGTACTACGACCTTTGGGTCAGCGCATTTGCATATTACCAATACACGTGCAACACCCGGCAGACCCAAGGCTCTCGGGAAGATAGAGCACTTAAGTCCAGAGCTCGACCATATAACAAGTGACAGTGTTATCACCATTGTGTATAGCTACGCGGGAAACTCGTACCGAAACGGTAAGCACCAAGTATACATAGCTGTTTTCACAATAGAGCCTATATTAATCAGAATATTTTTTTTTTATTTAATTTATTATAAGTTAAATAAATATAAATAAATGAATAAAGTAAATAAATAAATAGAAAATAAATAATTAAATAATTGATAAATTAAGCCTTCAAAAACAGGCAGACCAAAGAATGGAAAAAACCAAGCAGCAACATGAAAAATGCGCACTCCTGTCGTTGAGACGGCGTCACCACTACTACCGCGTACACGCATTTACTCCGGCGACAGTATGCTGGGCTCCTTCGGTAGCTTCCACCTTGGATAAGCCTCGGCTCTACTACCGTGCACTGCTAAGGTGGCGACGCCGGCTCAAGTAAGGGAGTTGCAGAATGTTATAATAATAATTCTAATTCTGTATTGTGATTCAAATATAACTCAAGCATTTTTGATGATATAGTTTACGAAAGTTTAAATGGTTTATCATCATTCACATTGCATACTGTGTATGTGTAAGACATTTTTTCTATTTTCTCTATGGTAGGACAACCACGTTGTTCGTTCAGGGTCCGTTCCGCTTGAGTGAACATGATTAGTGCGCAGCCGCACAATGTGTCATATAACTTTAGCTTGTTGTTGCTAAGAGATTATATTATAGGATAATGTGAATGCATTTCTTAAGCTTTGTCTACACTATCAAACTTCATCAAAAAAGCATCACATAAAATGTGATAGAAAAATATCATCAAAATACATCAAACTCCATCAAATAATGTGATGTACTTTGATGAAACGTAATTACCAAATCCAATTGGTTGGTGTGACTTTTAGTGTTTGCTTATTGGTCAAAAGGTGTTTCCTAATTTTAAACGTCCATACTATCAAATTTTTACATCAAAGTTGATCAAATAATAGAAATTAAACTGAATAAAAATAAAACCAAAGGTATGTGGATTGGGTACAATGTTAATAAAAAGAGTAACCCTTGCGATATCATCTTCATCCAAGAACCAATAAAGTTTCTTGGAGTATACATCGGATATGACAAGGAGTTGTGTGATTTTAAAAATTGGAATGAGAAAGTATGTAGTTTACAACAAATTTTAAAAACATGGGAAAAACGAAACTTCCTTTTTTCGGAAAAATTACTATAATAAAAACTCTTGCATTGTCAAAGCTTATATATAACACAAGTGTCACAGATATACCACAATCCATTATTTCTGAGATTAACAACATTTTATATAACTTTTTGTGGAAAGAAAGAAAAGAAAAAATAAAACGAAATACAATCATACAAGATACTACTAAGGGTGGTCTTAAGATGATTGATTTAAACTCAATGGTTGAATCCCTCAAATTAGGCTGGGTTAAGCGATTACTAAACCCTGACCCAGGCAAGTGGAAATTTATTCCATCTTTCTTTCTAAATCCTCTGCATGACTGAAGTTAGTTATGAAGATCATAATAAGTTTGCTAAAATGCCTAAATTTTATCAAAATATGCTAAATTCTTGCATAAAATTTAATAATGTACATGTATCGTCTGAACCACACTGCATCTGTGAGGTTAAAAAACAAAGGCTGTAGAATAACAGATTCATTAAATTAAATAAGAAACCTCTATTCTGGAAATCATGGATAGACTCAAATTTTAAAACTATTAATGATATTATGGTTGGTACCAGCTTTAAGAATATAAAGGAAATAATTCCACAACTTCCAAAAAAAACACAACGCGTTAATTGAATACGTAGCTTTAATTGATGCAATACCACGAAATTGGAAACATATCATAATACATAAACCTATTTGCACAATACATAAACCAAATGAATGTAAAACTAATTATAATGCTATTTTAAAGCAAAAGAAAGTTAAAGACTTTTATTTAACGTTTATAGAAGCCAAATTTAAAATACCAAAAGTGCAAAGTAAATGGGAAAATAATCTACAGATGTGTACCATAGATTGGGATTCATGTTGGAATAATAAGGTGAATTCCATGATGCACTTGAAAAAGATTGCACATTTTAATTTTAAATTTATTCATATGATACTTCCAACTAAAAACAGATTAAATTTATGGAATCTGTCCGCTACAAATTTATGCGATTACTGCAAATTACCTGAAAATGAAGAACACATGTTATTCAAATGCAAGAATATAGAAATATATTGGGTAAAATTTTATTTTTTGTTGGAAACATGTTTTTCTACTCCACCAAATTTTGTACTTGGTATGTACAATGAAATTACCAATGAGGTAATATCAATATTTACATTTTGCATCTACAAAAGTAAAATCAAGCATAGACTTGGACTCGGAAGAAGCTGTCCATGGATAATGTTTGTTTCATAATACTGTATTTAACTTTTAAAATGTGATTAAATGAGTGAAAAATAATACTATACTATAATATTTTGGCATGCCCTAAATCTGTCTCTTATACACATCTAGATGTGTATAAGAGACAAAGGTGTGTTTGTATAATGTTTAAATGATTTTAGTGACCACTTGGTTCATTTTTATTGAACAAAAGTGGTGGTAATTAAGAAATGAAAAAAATGGTATTACCTTTGGATGTTAATTTTTTTTTAGAAAAATGTGGGTATGATGCGTCTCACATACACAAAGAGCCAAGAGAAACAGA